CCACTGATTTGCCAACTAATCTGTATTAGTTTGCTCGTGCCGCCGTAATGAAATATCACAGACTGGCGGTCCCAGACAATAGAAATTGGTTTCTTGATCCCTGACAGCCCCCCCCGTGCATGCTACCGTTCTGGAGGCGGGAAGTCTGCGATCAAAATGGCAGGGTTGGTTTCTCCTGAGGCCTCTCTCCTTGACTCAGAGGCTCACAGCACCCTCATCCGGCCTTTTGTCTGTGCGCCTCGTCCACTGAAAAAATTATGAGCCCCTGGACATGTCATTCCCTGTGGCCACCTGCTTTTCGTGGCTTAGCTCCTCCAAGTACCCCTCCCCCATGTCAATCTCACCCACCAGCTCTCCCCAACATGCTGCCTAAACAGCTCCTGCCCCGGCCCGATGTCACTCGTTTCTAGACAGCGACCATTTCTAACCACATTTACCTGGCCCAGCAAGCTTGGCACAGTCAGTAAGGGCCGGAGTGGGAGACCCCCTACTTCTTGCTCTGTCCTCCTACACAGGCTCACCCCCACCCCCTGCCTCTGTTTCATCTGACCTGTGGATCTAAATTTCCCTGACTCCTCATCTGGACATCCCATGGTCCCCCCAAGTCCTAGAACAAACCCCATCCTTCGCCACACGGTGGCCCAAAAGCTTGCCCCACACCACTTTCCAAGAAGCAATGTGAGGCAGTGGTTGAGAGCATGGACACTCAGGAGCCAGACTTTCCAAGCTCGAATCCCGTTTCAGGCTGTGTGGCCTCAGGCAACTCACTAGACTTCTCTGGGCCTGTCTCCCCACCTGTAAAGTGGGAAGAATAGTACCTACTTCCCGAACTCGCAGTGAGGGTTGAATGAATGCTGTGTGGCCGGGTAGTTCTCACTTCCTCGCTGGGGGTTCTCTGCTGGGTGATGGAACCTCTCTAATCCGGAGCCCTTCATCTACAGGATGGGAAGAGCAGCTCCCACTTTACATACCGTGCGAATCTAGTAAGATACTAGAGCAAAGCATTCCAGACCAACCCTGGCCCACAGTAAAACTTGCCAGTGTTGGTTTTGTTATTTTCAAAATGCGTATGTGGTCTTGGCACTCCTGACAGCCTAAAACCCTTCCGAGGCTCCCCACTACTTTAGGGATAGAGACCAAAATCCCACCCCAGCCTCCAGGTCTCATGGGGCAGGTCCCTCCTGCCATCCTGGCCGCTTCTCACTCCACATGCTCTGCATCCCTTTGCCCCTCTCACCACTTGGCCTTTGCACATGCTGTTCCACCTGCCTGGAACACTCTTCCCTCTTTCATTTGATTCGCTCCCTCTCATCCTTCAGATCTTGTCTCAGGGTCACCTACTCAGGGGCACCTTCCTGGTCTTCCAATGCACTGTTTGCCCACCAGGGTTGTGGCGGGCCTGGCCTCCAGAGCCCTGCTCATGGCTAGCAGTGTCCCCCTTGGGGTGGCTCTTTGCTTCAAGTCTGTGTCCCTGTGACCCTGGGAGTTCCACGAACACAAGAGACTGTGGCTGGTTCCACTCAACTGTGGGAGCCCCTAGCACCCAACACAGTGGCTGGCACCGAGACACGCAACCAACATTGAGGAATGAATGGACGGGTGAGAACCTTGATCCCTGACAGCCCCCCCGTACATGCTGCCGAGGCCGGGGACACTGAGAGGGAGATGGGACCCACACCCACCGGAGAAGGGGCAGCCCTGGCTGACTGGGGCCACTCTCCCCATAGCCTGGGGGCAAGCCTGGGCCCCAGAGACCAGAAAGGACCATGGGAGCAGGCCCTGCTGCCCACAGTAACCCAGACCACCTGCCCAGAGCAGACAGGATGCCCTAATGATGGCAGTTTACCCCAGGCTAGGCTCTCGAATTCAGTGCTTGCATCAGCCCTGCACGGAGAAGGGGCCATCAGCACCCACACTTACGGACGAGGAGACCTAGGCGCAGAGGCTGCATGACTTGCTGTGGTCAGATCCAGGACAGGAACGGGACCTGACCCAGGGCTCTGAGACACCCCGCTCCACATCTGCTGGGCTCCCTGGAGCGCCGTGGGCCCTCCTGCAGCAGCACGGTTCACCTCTCTGAACATCAGTCTCTTCATCTGAACCAAGGACCCTCCACTTAGAGCAGACAAAGGATGTGGCTCTGGGACATGTCCTTGAGCCCGAACCTACCCTGCCCGCTCTCCCTAGCCTCAGTTTCCTCAAATGTCACATGGAGCCGGGGGACGGGGTTGGGTCTTGTGGTCTCAGGCCGACATTCTTCCAAGAGCCCCTCTAATGGGGTGTTTCCACTCTCTTTTTTCCATTAATGCACTCACAAGGTTCAGAAATCTGAATGATACAGAAAGGTTTATAGCCGGATAACCATTTTCATCAATTTCTTGAATACCTTTCTCAGTATTTCTACATGTGAATAAAAGCAAATAGCAATCTATATTCCTTCCCCCACACTTGTTACAAGAAAGGAGGCCCGGGGGTGAACTGTAGTCAATACTGTTCTGCGCCGTGCTCCGGTCATCAGCAGATTCTGCGGATCGTCCCCTATCCACAGACAGAGATTGTCTATGGTCTTTTTTACGGCTGTGTAGTACTCCATCGGGGAACGCACCACGGTGTAGGTAGCAAGGGGCAGCTGAGAGTGCCAGTGTCATCTCCATCCTTCCCCTTGTGCAGGAAGGAAACCCCGGAGGTACTCATGACGTCCCTGTAAATCCTATTGGCTCCGCCTATAAAATGTACCAGCGTCCCACCATTGCCCCCTAGCTCTGCTGCTTCTGGCCCGGGCCAGGCCCCCGGGGTCGCTCAGCTGGACCACACACAGTGGCTTCCAGGCCAGTCTCCTGCTTCTGCCCTCGCCCCCTGCCCTCTGTCCTCCTGAAGCAGCCAGAGGGGTCCTGGGAAGACTGAGGCCAAATTCCACCCCTTCTCTGCCACAACACTCTCACTGCGCCACCCTCACTTGCTGTCAAGGCCGAGTCCTCACCCTGACCTGTGACCTCACCTCCCACCTTCGCCTCTCACTGCACTCTGGTCACCCCGGTCTCACTGCTTCTCCATCACATCAGGGCCCTCCTGCTCCGCCCAGGGGTCCCTCCCTCACCTCCTGCAGCTCTTGGCCCCAGTGTCACTCCCCAGTGTCACCTTCCCCAGTCCCTAATCACTGGTTGCACATACACCCCCTCCCTGCTTTATTTTAACCCACAGCGCTCATCACCATCTGACCAATTATAGCTCTTCCTTGTTTTCCTTGTTTGTTGACAATCCCCCCACCCCTGTATGTCAACTCCACAAGAGCAGGGTTTTTCTGTCTCCTTCTCAGCTGTATCCCCAGCGCTTTGATAGTGCCTGGCCCACGAATGAACAAACAGCGAATGCATGCTGGCTACAGCACCCCAAGGACAGAGGCCAGGCTGGCTGGTATCCAGGTGGGAGCCCCAGACAGGGACACGGCCTGGGCCATCGCTACTGACATGTCAGAGCTAAGCACCGTGGAGACCTCGGTGCCTGATGGATGGAGGCCTGCCTGGGTCTCTGGCTTGCCCGGGGGTTGAAGCAGGACCTTCAGCCCCCAAAACTCCTGGAAGGCCCAGGCTCTGGGGTCAGCTCAATTAAGCCCCTGCCTTCACCTAACATTAATTGAAGATCTGTGTTCAGCCATTCTGAGCCCTGTATGTCCAGATCCTTGATCTTTGGGCAGGGAGGGGCGGGGAGAGAACCTGAGGCTTCAGGTCCCAGAGCTGCTGCCCCTGAGTTCACACCCCGCAACCCCCTCGCCCCGCCACCACACACCCACTAACGAGCAACAGCCACTACCACTTACGATGCAGATTCTCCAAAGTGGACTGGTCACTGGCCAGACAGTGGGTACCTGGCCTTGGGGTCAAATGTCCACACTGGAGCAATCAGCTGCACCCAGAGAAGGCAGGGGCCACAAGAACACTGCCTTCTCAGGAAGGGCAGAAACAGGGAGGAGAGGCCAGGGCTGGGGAGGCAACCCAGATATGAGCCATGTAGGTGGCATCTCCAGCCACTTATGACACCCAGCAGCTCCATCCAGTCTTGCTTCCTCATGAAGGAGACAGGGCATGGCTTATCACTCCCATCCTACAGATGAGGAAACTGAGGCCCAGAGAGGACAAAGGGATTTCCCGAGGCCACACAGCCAGTCGCCAGCAGAGCTAAGAGTCAGAGCCAGGACTGACCCACCCCCTGTTTTTGCTACCCCAGCCCCCCGGCGTGGGGCTTCGCAAGGCCCTGCTGGAGTTCCACTAAGACACCCCCACTTTGTCCTGCCTTCTGAGCTGGCAGCCCGGTTCTCCCCAGTGCATTATTCATGTTCCCGAGAGCTGGCCAGGTCTGGTTACACTGACCACAGCCCTGGACACCTGCTCTGCCCACTCCCCTCCTCCCTTGCCCAGGACCTGCTGGGTCCAAAGTTCCCCTCCAAGGTAACTCAGCGGGCTTTGAACCTCCCACCCTGGCTCAGGAGAGGTGGCTCCCCTCTGGCCCAGGACGCATGTGCTAGGTGGATTCCCGCGGGTGGCTTCCCTGTTCTGGGACTCAGAGTCTCCCTCTGTGAAGTGGCAGTGACCCAAGCATTCACTTCGGTGGGCTGAGGCGGCTGAGGCACAGGGAGGGCTTGACCCGACAGCTCGGTTGTCCTCAGGGCGATTCTCAGGCCAAGATGGTCGCCCCCAGCACAGGCCTGGCCCAGGCCTCCCCTGCTCCCTGGTAAACAACACCCACACACTTTCCACCACTGTTGGGGTGAAACCCAAGGCGGCTCAGGAGGAGATGAATTATGGATCCGCCCTCCCGGAACCCGGTGGCAGCCAGAAGCAGCTTGGCTGTCCCTCCCCAGGCCACCCAGGCCAGTCCCGGCTGCTCCCAGCCCGAGGAGGCCGCGTGTCCAGCGGCGGGCAGGAGACGCAGCGTGTCCCTCTGTCTCCAAGTCCCAGGGCTCGTGACACGGGCCGAACCCCGGTGGGGAGCAGGCAGCCACCATGGCAAAGGAGGAAGAGGATGAGAAGAAAGCTAAGAAAGCGAAAAAGGGGAAGAAGGCTCCAGAGCCGGAGAAGCCCAAACGGAGCCTGAAGGGGACGTCGCGGCTGTTCATGGGCTTCCGCGACCGCACGCCCAAGATCTCCAAGAAGGGTCAGTTCCGGAGCGCGTCGGCCTTCTTCTGGGGCCTGCACACGGGCCCGCAGAAGACCAAACGCAAGAAGAAGGCGCGCACCGTGCTCAAGTCGACGTCCAAGCTCATGACGCAAATGCGCATGGGCAAGAAGAAGCGGGCGATGAAGGGCAAGAAGCCGTCGTTCATGGTCATCCGCTTCCCGGGCCGGCGCGGCTACGGCCGCCTGCGGCCGCGCGCCCAGTCGCTCAGCAAGGCGTCCACGGCCATCAACTGGCTCACCAAGAAGTTCCTCATCAAGAAGGCCGAGGAGTCCGGCAGCGAGCAGGCCTCGCTGGACGCCTGGCTCAACCGCTCGGGCTCCCGCGTGGGCTCCCGCAAGCTGCCCTTCCCGTCGGGCGCCGACATCCTGCGGCAGGGAGGCCGCCTCCGGAGGTTCCCCCGCAGCCGCAGCATCTACGCGTCCGGCGAGCCGGTGGGCTTCCTGCCCTTCGAGGACGAGGCCCCGTTCCGGCCCTCGGGCTCCCGCAAGTCGCTGTACGGGCTCGAGGGCTTCCAGGACCTGGGCGAGTATTACGACTACCACCGCGAGGGTGACGACCACTACGACCGGCAGTCGCTCTACCAGTACGAGGAGGAGGAGCCCTACCTGGGCTACAGCGCCTACGGCCCCTACGGCCCCTACGGCCCCTACGACCCCTACGACCCCGCCTGGCCGCCCTACGGAGACCACCCCCACGGGTACCCGCCCGAGGACCCCTACGACGACTACCACCCGGACTATTACGGCGGCCCCTACTACCCCACGTACCCCTACGGCTACGGCTACGACGATTGCGAGCCCCCGTACGCGCCCCCGCCGGGGTACGCGTCCCCCTACAGCTACTATGATGCGTACCAAGGCGAGCCGTACCCGCACGGCTACGACCTGGACCCCTACGCACCTTATGAGGCGCCATACCCGCCCTACAACCGCCCGTACGACCTCCCGTACGACGTACCCTATTTGGATCCCTACGGGGTGCCCTATGGCGCCCCCTATGGCGTCCCCTACGCCGAAGACATCTACGGTGGCGGGGACCCGGCCATCTACCCTCCCGAAGCGCCCTATCTTTACCCAGAGGAGCCGGCCTTCGCGTACCCGTGGGTGCCGCCGCCCATCCTGTCGCCCCACAACCCGTACGCCCACGCCATGGATGACATCGCGGAGCTGGAGGAGCCGGAGGAGGCGGGCGGCGAGCGGCAGAGCACCTCGTTCCGCCTGCCCAGTGCGGCCTTCTTCGAGCAGCAAGGCATGGACAAGCCCGCCAGGTCCAGGCTGTCCCTCATCCGCAGGTTCCGCCTCTTCCCGCGGCCCCAGGTGAAGCTGTTCGGGAAGGAGAAGCTGGACGTGTCCCTGCCCCCGTCCCTGGACATCCCTCTGCCCTTGGGGGATGCGGACGAAGACGAGGAAGAGGAGGAGACGCCCCCGGGGCCCTACGCCCACCCCTTCTGGGGCTTCCTGCCGCCGCGCCAGCGCAACCTCCAGCGCGCCCTGTCCGCCTTCGGCGCCCGCCGCGGCCTGGGCCTCGGCACCGACTGGGGCCGCCCCCCGCCTCGCCCGGCCACCTCGCTGGCGAGGTTCCTCAAAAAGACGCTGGCGGAAAAGCAGCCCATCCCGCGGCTCAGGAGCAGCCAGAAGGCGCGGCTGCGAGGCCCGATGGTCCGGGAGGCGGCCTACAAGCGCTTCGGCTACAAGCTGGCCGGCATGGACTCCGAGCGGCCCGGCACGCCCATCGTGCTGCGGAGGGCCGAGGCGCGG